ACTATGAGAACTTCTTCGCTTGTTATTTTGTATTATTTTGACATTCAATCCTCATCCATAATTTCCAACAAATCGCCGCCCTTCGCCGAGAGCTGCACAGTTGCACTGTCCACACGCAGGCCGTCCATAATATTAAACAACTCCTTGTTTTGCGACTCCACATCGGTTTTGGTCATCCGCGTCAAAGGCCTCGTGGAAGACGCCGGTGGGCCCCCCGACGTCCCCGCGGCGCCCCCACCCACTCTCGCGCCGGCTCCACGGCCATCCAAACCATCCTCGTCCATGTCGTCAAAGAGGCTCAGCTTAAACGTTTGCTGCGGGGCAGGCTGCCCACATCCCACAAGCCGCGATAAATGGTTCAACTCTCCCGTCACCGCACTCGTGGTCTCCGGCGACGGGGCCGCCGCGGGCGACGTCGTCCTCGTGGTCGTCGAAGGCAATGGCGATATCTTTGCTTCCGTATGCGTCGAGTCCGCGTGCTGACTTGGGGCGTACATATTTGTCCCATTCTTCGTCATCCGCGTTGCTGGGTTCATCGGGTCCCAGGTGCCAGGCGGCACCGACGGCGGGTGGCGTAGTGCGGCGTCTTGATGCTCAAACACCGTTGACGCTTCCAGTTTCCCGCCTTTGAAGTAACGGATGCTGCCAGGCGGCTCGCAGGCGGAGAGCGGTGGAAGGGCGTAGTCTGCAGGCAAGAAAAACTGCCCAGTTTTCGATTGCATGCCCTCGTTGATGAGCACCGAGATGAGCGTGTTGCGGCCGACAAAGAAGTTCAGTAGCTCCTTACGAATCTCCGCCAGGTCTCCATGCGAGAGCTGGCTGCAGAAAGCCTCCAGCATGACAAAGACGGGGCAAAGCCTCGCCTGGGCCAGCGGCGTAAGGAGTCGCTCCAGCTCCTCCAGGTGTGTCCACGTCATCTCCACCAGTTCCAGCGGATGGCGCAGGGTGAAGAGCTGGTACTTCATCCCCATTGCCATCAGCTCAAACAGCTTGTTCATGGACACGGGAGAGAGGTGCATAATGGACGTTTCTGCCAACGACTTGAATACCTCCTTCACCGCCGCGTAGGAGTAGAGCGGCTGTGGGCGGAAGAGCTCTGCCAGGAACTCTGGACTAAACATATGCGTCACGACATCATTCATCACCATCTCGGCCTTTTCCTGCTCAACCTTCTGGGCAATGAGGCGGGTGTGGAGAATGAAGCCCATCTCCGCCCCGCAGCCGAGAATCAGAAACGGCAGTGCGCCAGCCGTCATCTCCCCTGCCTCTAGCGCTGTGCTTCTCTGGCCGTCCGTGATATCTCCGCTGCTTCCCCACGGTGGCCTGCGCAGCAAACAGGAAAAAAAAAGGCAATGTATACTTTTATATATATATATATAAATATAAACGTATACTCAATGCGCGAGCCCCAAAGTAGACTAGAGAAGGTGACTGTAACGCCGGCTGGTGGCCGCTCTCTACGCCTGCAGACTACGAGGAAGAAAGGAAGGAAGAAGGGACATAACACCTAAGAAAAAAAAAAGCACACAGGAAACTTCAGTGGCATTCTGACACACACCCCACCTCCTTTTTTTTTTTTCTCTCAGTCTCCCGGTGGTTGTGGAGGAGGGATGTTTGTGCATTGGCGCCCATCACGCACACGCGCCTGCCAGTGGTGGCAGAAAGTGGAGGGCCAAAAGCAAAGCCGCCAGTGCGTGGTGAATTCAGGTGTACACAGTTAAACGCTTAGGGGTTACTTTTTCCCTTCCATGCACGACGCTTCACATCCCCCCCTCCCCCAATTAACACTTACGTCTACTTTCTTACACACGCCTACACACACACACACACACACACAGGGAGAAACACACAACACCACACACTTCCCCCTCCGTCTTTCCAGCGTAAGGACAAACAAAGAGGAAGAAAAACAAAATAAAATGAAAAATGCGACTGTCACCCCTTTAGCTGCGTCGAGTTTTCTTCGATCGCTTGAACGCGCGCTGCAGGCCAGTGGCACTCCCCACCCCACTCTTCGTCCCCTGCAGCGAGGACTTGGCGTCCCGCAGCAGTGTGGAGTCCACGTTGATCGGGCGTCGCACCTTTTTCTCCACTGAAAGTCCAACGAGTTGGCCATCGTTGTCGTAAATCTCACGGGCATCCTCATCCGGCTCCTCCGCGGCCTCGGCCTCGTTGCTTGCCTCCGTCCCATTCGTTCCTGGCGCCTTCAGCTTCTGCAGCCGCGTGAAGTGCTCCACGATGCGGGAGACAGCCTTCTGCAAGAAGGCTCTCAGTTGCTGAGGCGGCACGCCAGCAAATGCCGTCTGCTGGGCCACCTGCTCCACCGTCTGGCACTGCAAACCCACCGCCAGCAGTACAGCCGCTTGGGCGTGTGACAGCACGACGCCCTCGGCGCCGTCCGGCAAGCGATGCAGCCGGGATTCAAAGTAAAGCCTCGCCACGGCAGGCAGCAGATCCAAGACCTGCCCACCCTCCACAAAGGCGGTAGCGTTCAGCTTCAGCCGCTTCATGTCATTGCTGCTAAAGATCCGCTCCAGCTCGGGCCAGGTGCACTGCACCTGGCCACCCACGCGAACAGTGTGTTCGGCAGCCCGGGAAAGGTCCGTGACGGCGGCCAGCTTTTGTGGGTCATTCACGTCAATGTCCTTCAGGATGCTCAACGCCAACTCCGTTGGAAGCTGGCGAAAGGGCATGGCGAGTAGTGGAATAAACCGCCGGCGGAACTCCGCTCGCAGCAGCGCGAGGTCCAAGCCAATTGGACGCACCATCACACAGCTATGCTCGCCTGTCAGTTCATTCGCGGCGTGGCGCAGGTACAAAGGCTCATAGCCGGCTCGCCGCCAAAAATTAAACAGCGGCGTCGTCACACCAAAGCTCACGCCAAGGTAATCAATCACCTCATATGGGCGCTCAAGCAGCGGGGTAAGCAGGGTCGGAATACGCTTTCGCGGCTGAATAATGGAACTGACGGCGTCATCTTCCACCACGTCAGCCCCGTTGACCTCCTGCGGCAAAGAGGAAGACGCGGGGGCCGCACGAAGGGAAATGGAACCGCTGTAATACTCCTGCAGCAGCGCCAGTGCACGCGACCCGTACCCGGAACGCTGCAGCTCGGGGTTGGTGGCGATGCGCACGATGCGCAGCCCAGCAAGTTTGGCAAAGCCCTCCTCAAGATAGCACTGTGACAAGGTGTAGGGAATGAGGTCGCCCGCGGGCCGCAGACCGCGGCTAAGATTACTCTTGATCGCCTCGGATGTCACCTGCCCCTCCTCGCAGGCATGAATCACGCAAAAGACATCCGGAAGGCCATTCTTGGCGTCCACCGTCGCAGAACAGAGAAGGAACAAATGGTGTCCAGGGGCATCAGACATCAGCTGCAGGTCATTGGGCTGATTCTTGTAATGCGCCGCCACCAGCATGGCCACAATCGTCTGCAGCAGCTGTTCCGCAAGCGGGTGGTAGGAGAAAAGAGCGTCACGGTTCACGTAGTAGAGCTCACACTTGCTGGGATGCGGACACACCTTTACGCCGACAGGTCGTGCGGTCGCGTCGAGACAAAGTAGTTTGTTTAACCACAACTCGACTGGGTCGTTCGGGCCGTAGCGAATCGGATCCGTTAGCGAAATTTCGCGGAGAAAACGCCTGTCATCGGAACTCCCTGCAGCAGCAGCAGCCGCTGCCGCCGCCGCCGCCGTGGCACCCGTCCCCGCATCCGTGCCGCAATGCTTCCGCATATCTGCGACAAGCTTCATGGACAGGCTCCGCCCCGTCCCCTCATAGCCGGACACCGTCGAGGAAAGGAAGACGAGGTAGGGGCCCAACATTTGCTTTACAACCAGCAACGGAAGTGCGGCCGCCTCGTCAATGATGGCCAACTCCGCTTGGGCAAATTTTGAGGCGTCGTGCGGGGAAATGTATTGCACCGTCTGGCGATGCTCACGAAAGACGTTGAGGCGCACGATGCACTTGCTGAACTCCACATTCGTGCTTTGCATGGCCTCAAATTCGGTGCGCTCTGTGTACCCCAACTCCTTCAATCCTCGCACCACAAATTCAAAAAATGTTTGCAGGTTCTCCGGCGACGGGGCCGTGCAAAAGATGTTACTGTAGCCCTGGGCGAGTGCGCCAGCCGCAGCGAGGCCGAGTGCTGCGGACTTGCCACGGCCGCGACCCGCCGTCACAACACAGGTTGTGTTGAGCGACTTCTCCACAACAGTTTGCATCAGGGAGAGAACCGTTTTGCCCTGGTCAAGGGTTTGACAGACCGCCACCAGCGGTCCCACCTCACTGCTCCCACGAAGTCGATCTTTTAAGGCAAGTAAGTCCGCCTCGTGCTTCTGACGGCCTTGCAGCGCCAACTCCGCGTCGTAGCTGGCGGTGCGGGCATTCTCCACCGACCGCATCTTTGCAGTGATGGGAAGCACGTTTAAATCGTCATCGACGCAAAGCGCCGTATCACAATCCACTAGCGAGAGGAGAAAGCGTTCATTGAAGCGGGGCACAACATCCCGCAAGGCCTCTGTGCGGTACCGTGCGTGAACGTCCATAGCAATGGTGTAGAGCTGCTTTAGCGAGCGCATCGCACGGAACATTATGACCACAAGTCCCCCACCTCGCACCGTCTCCACGGTGCGCGCAAGTGTGTTGGGGGTGATGGCCTCAAAGTCCTGCAGCACGGCCATGCCAAAGGTCTGACCAAGAATCTTGTGCGTCTCCTTGTACTGACAGAAGCGAATGGAGGTTTGCGCCAGAAACGTCTGGAAAGCTTCCTTCGTGGCCTCGGTGGACATGCCACCCTTCACCTCCAGCCGCGCACGCTTCTCCTGCTTCTTGCTGCTCGTGGAGCCAAAATCCGGCTCCTTCTTCATGCACCACAGCATATTCACCTTGGCGCTGTGGTTGGCGTGTGAGACCATCTGGTGCAGGTTGACGATCTGATCCTTCCCGCGGTCACCCACGAGAAGCAGCAGAGCTCGGTGCTTCTTGTGCACCGCATTGTCGATGAGGTGGCGAACGCGATCGTCCACTTTGCGCTTAATCGTCACCCCTCTGGCGGCGTTGGAGCGGGCCGTTGACGCAGCCGAGGCGGAGGCGGACATTGCAGCCGTCGTAGGAGCAATGAACTTGTCTCTCCCTCTCCTGTTGCGTCGCCCCTCACTGCTGCCGCGATGCCCCTCCTACGCCGTGTGCTGCTCCTGCCGCCAACTCCCACTGCCCTCCAATTGTCCCGTCCCCACTCCCTTCACTTCGCTTAGTCGACGTCGTCTGCTTATTTATTCGTCTTACTGTTGTTGCTGCCTTTGTTTGTTTGTGTTAGGCCTGCGTTTTTTTTTCTTTTGCTCCTTTCCTCCGCCGCTCCTACGCGTTGAGGCACTTCCGCGAGCGCTCCCACCCTCTTCTTTTCATCCCACAGCGCGGCGCAGCAGGTGTGTGTGTGTGTTTGTGTGCCCAGCCACGGCCACGCACCGCGGCAAAGAAAGAAACAAAGTGACGCGGCAAAAAAAAAAAGAGGCGTACGTGGAGCAGCCAGAAGATGAGAGAAAAAGAGAGAGAGAGCAAGCGAGGGACGAAGTCCTCCACGAGCACGTCGAGGGGCGGCACCGGCGTCACGGCCGCCAGACGGCGCCCAGTCACGCAGCCGGGTAATGGTTCGTTTCACTTAAAGGCACAGTTGAAAACTCGATATAATTAAGGGTGGGGCAGCGGCGGAGGCGAGGGGAGGGTCATTCCGCACGGTCATGCGGAGAATTCAGCCTTGACACACTCGCAAGATTCATTGTGTCATGCACAAGCCTTGCCAGGTGGTCTTCCGTGGCGAGCTGCAGTGTAATGGGTATCTGCTCACGCCCGCACCGCTGGAAACAGGCGAAGGAATGCAGCTCACGGTAGGCAGACAGCACCACATGCCGGTTCGCCTTCTCGTGGTAGTAGCGAACACACAGTGCGCCGGCGTCCAACTGCAGTTGGTAGCGATCGTTAAACTGTGAACAGCAATGCGACTTCAGCTGGGCCACCGTCATGCCGGGGTATACCTGCAGCTTCGTCTCCACACTCCACCCCTCCGAGTTGTTGTAGTGAACAGCAACAATGAGCGGCGCGGCCTGTGCATGGCTGTCCGGGTCGCACGACGAAATCTCAAGTGGGCAATTCGGACTGCCATTAGTACGACTACCGTTGGGGTTTGAATTCCCGCGCGGCGTCAGCAGGAACGGCGGGGGCGGGGGCGGGAATACGAGAGAACTTTTACCGCCGACGTCCGGGAGAAATTCAGGCTGCATTGGTGTCACAGCCGCCGCCGCTGCCGCTGCCGCTAGGCTCTCCATGGACGCCACCACATACGACGGCGTACGGGCCGTGGGACTCGGAGGAGATGGCTGCGGTTGCCGCGGGGGGAGTGTGTTGGCGCCGGCGACCGACACCACCGGGGCGTCGCCGCCGTACGAGTCATCATCCCCAGACTCCGCCTCCTCCGTGGATTCATTCGTTTGGCTGTGGCGACTCACCTGCGCCGTCCGCCGTGCGTTCCTCAGGGCGCCGGCCTCCAGGCGAAACGCCGCCTCATTGAGCCTCCCCTGTAGCTCCTGCTGCCGCTGCTGCAGCGCAATGTTCTCGGCGAGAAGGGCCTGCTCTCGCCGTTGCGACGCCCGCAACGCCTCCTTCACGCGCTGCCGCCACAGCGCCCCCTTCGTCTCCATCTCCGCCAGCTTCCGCTGCAACTCGGCCACGCCGCCCCCGTCGCCTGACTGCAGCGCCTGGATCTCCGCCTCCCGCCGCCGCAGTTGCCGGCGGAGGACAACAACCTTCTCCGCCAGCTGCACCGCCACCTCGCTCCGCACCGCCTCTTCCTCCCGGAGGTCGTCCGCCGGCGTCCGGGGAGACGCAGTCAGCGCGCCGTGCGGCGGCAACGCCACAAGTTCCCCCGCGTCGCGTGGGGCACACGACGCAACTGCCGCCTCCGGCCGCGCACAGCCACTGTGGTCGTTACTAATCGCCATCCGCTTGGCACCGTCCCACGGCACACGCGCTCGTTCTCTCCCCCCTCCCCCGTCTCCAGAGCCGCGGCGATGCAGTGTGGAGGGCACAAATCCCGGCTGCCGTGAATGAAGCGGGAGCAAAAACGAGAGGGACGACCGTGCGGCAACGCAACAAAGAAAACGCTTGCGTTTTCCTTCGCCCCAGCCCCGGCCCCCGCACGCTGGACGCCGCCACGCCTCGTTTGTTATTCTTGATGTGTGTTTTGCCTTCCTTCCTCGTTTCCCTCGCTTTGGCTACGTGCGTGAGAGGGAGGGTTCGCAGAGCGCGCCGTAGCGGGGGAAAAATAAAAGAAGCCAGTCAAGAAGACGCCAACGAGAAGAGGTCAGTGAGGGATGGGCAGAGTACAGAAATGACCTGTACAGCCACACACGATTCCATCACAGACAAGAAGCCTACACACAACCCCTCCGCTCCTCCCGGTGCTTACGAGAGCATATGCATCCCAGGCAGAGAGAGAGGGGAGGGAGCGAGTGAGTGAGAGCAGCAAACCACACAAAGCAGGAGTTCGGGGAGGGGAAGCAGAGACAAAGTACATACGTGCCTCTTACTTCTCCTTGTTCCATCTTTTACTCCTCGTTTGCTTGCTTGCTTTTTTTTTTACGATTCCGGTCATGTTTTATTTGTTCCTTGTTGCCACTTATTCTTTCCCTACAACATTTTTAGCCTGAGTTAAACGCCGACTTTGCCTTCTGCAGGCCGCTGCGTAGCTGTGGTAGCAGCACCGACCGCAGCTTGTCGTAGTCCGCGGACTCGCGCATGTAGTCCTGCGCCGCCTCAATGACGGCCATTGTGTTGCTCAGCGTGTCATCCAACGCCGCCACCGCCCCGCGCTGCACATCCTCCCGGTCCTCGGATCCCGTGGTGGGGGCAATCGCCGCCGCCGCGAGGGCGTCAGCAGCCAGTTCGTGAAGACACTCGCAGGTGCGAGCAAAGCGGGTTTCATCCCGCTCCCACTGATCCTTCTGCTGACAGCAGCGCAGCTCCTTCAGGCGCATCTCGTACGCCCTCAAGGGGCCGTCCATGTAGCGCAGCAGTTTCGCCCCACAGGCGTAGATATCCGGGTCTGTTACAAAGAGGTCGGTGATGCGCTTAAACGTGTCTCGCATGCGCTGCTTGTAGCGGTCCACAATGCCCGCGTGCACCCGCTCCGCCTCCGCAGCTGCTGCTGCCGAGTTGCCGGACCCCAAAAACGCCTCGGGCATGTCGAGTTCGCTTCCCAGCGGAACGAGGTCACACACGTGCTGCTCGGCCTCCGCAGCACCGTCATCGTCCACCAGGGCGACGGAGGCGTGAGAGACCTCCGCCGCCTCCACGTGATCCCTAGAGCTGGCGGGGATGCGTCCCTCCATGTACGCAATGGCGTTGTCTACAAAGCGGTTCAGCGATTCCCGCTCCAGGCGCGTGTTGCGTTTCGCAATCTCCAGCAGGACGTTCAGCGCATTCGTCGTCTCTGTCACCTCCTTCAGCTCACAGCCAATGGAGAAGTAGTTTTGCCACATGCGCCAGTCACGACGGTTGTTGCGCAGCGCCTGACTCATGGCGTTAAACGCCGGCCGAAGCCTCCCGTCGCGCAGCAGCACCGAGGCAAGATTGTTCCACGCGTACGCGTCATTTGGCTGAATCTGGCAGACGCGCGTGAAGGCCTCCCCGCTGCGATCCCACTGCTCGAGCCGCATCGCGGCGTAGCCGAGCGAAAACCAGTCCCCGCCAAACACGGGATTCAGCCGCACGGCCTCATCAAAGTACTCCACCACCTTACTGTACTCCTCACGCTCGAGCGCCAGCCTCGCCAGGGCCCGCATCGGGGCCGCGGATCGGTGGTTCGACAACTCCCACGCCTTCCAGAGGTGCGAGACCTCGCGTGTCGCCTCTCCGAGCGCCACCCACAGCAAAGGGTTGCATGGATCAGTCTCAAGTAGCTCACGTGCGAGAGACTCCGCCCGTTTTCGCTTGTCCAGTGCCTTGCAGCACTTTATAATATTTTCCCAGTCCAACACCTGCTCATAGGCGTCAAGGGCCGTCTTAAAGAGGCTCTCTTCGTAGCAGAAGTCAGCATATTCGCTTTTTAGCTGCCAAATAGATGGGTATGCCACACTATAAAAGTAGTCGCTTTCCGTGCGGTGAAATGTCTTGCGTGTGGGGTCGCGTGCCGCGGTGAATTGATCCACCAACTCCGTCAGCTGCATAAAGGCCCGTTCCTGCACCCGATTGCGTCGACGCTCCAATCGGCTGCGCAGAAGGAGCGTCTGACACTGAATCATGAACGGTGCAGGAGCGGGGTCCACAATTAGTCGCTCCACGTACGTCTGCATGTGATGCTGCGTCAGCCCATGATAGGGGTTGGTGTTGCGAAGGTCAAGGCAGAGGGCGAGGATGAGGGCCTTGTCTAGCGGGTGCAGTGGCTGCAGCGGGGGCGCCGGCGTTTCTACGGACTCGCGCGGGCGGTCAAGAAGGTCATGGCCGTCCTCCTCTCCCATCACCACCCGCGGCGCATCGGTAACGGGTCGCGGGGTGAACGGCAGCGCACTCTGCGCGTTCATCACCATCTGCACAAGCTGCTGCTGCTGCCATCGGGTGCGCACGCCCAGCATGGCGCTCTCGGAGATGGTGAGACCGCTCTTGCGAACGGCCCGCCAGAACGTTTCGGCGGCGGTGTCACGTCGGTGGTAATAATTGTGCACATGGCCCACTTCGAGGAGGTGCTCAACACTGAGCTCGGCCTCCGGCAGCCCCAGGGCGGCGTCCACGCAGGCGGAAAGGTGAAGAAAGACGGAATGCGCCCGATGCTGCAGAACGAGTTGGTGACGCATGTGAACTCGCAGCCGCCAAACGGAATGATACGGCACGAGCGGTCGCCCACCACCCGGCGCCTTGCTGCAGACAATGGCTAGGGCGCACAGCAGCAGTGCACTCAGACGCAGACACGGGTGTGGCATTTCCCCATCACTCACAAGCAGCCGCTGCACGCAGCGCTCAAGCAGCGCATCCGCCATGGTGAAACGCTGCAGCACCGCCGATAACTCCTCCCGCTCTGCGGGCACCAACTCCCCACTGAAGTTTTCCGCATTGAAGAGGCGAAGCGCGAAGTCTACAGCCGGAGCAATGTCCTTTTCAATGTCCAACGCCTGTTCCTGCTGCAAATAGTCCTCCACAAGCTGGAAGTAGGCGCTCGCCGCCGTGGACGCGTCCTCGATGGACATCGTGACGCGGCCATCCCGCACGTGCCTCTCGTCAATGCCAACACTCGGCAGACGGAGCAGCAGCGCGGGAATGCTCTCCCCCATGATCCTCTTTTCTTTTTTTTTTGCTTTGCTTCGCAGGCCGACACCGGCGGCGAACAGCCTTGAAGTACCCCGGACTCGCACTGCGTCGGTGTCGCCGTAATTGTCGCACAGCCACACACGTGGCAAGGAGGGGATGGGGGGAGTCGAGGAGCAGACACGGAAGAAGAGTAAGTGCAGAGGCGACGCAGAGAGCCGCGCAGAGGAGTGTGACCCCCCCTCCTGCCGCTCGGCTGCCGCTGCCGAAGAAAAACAAAAAGTATATATATATATATCAAAAGGACCATCTTCACGCCGCCGCTGCATCCGCATGTGTGTGTTG